CCTTCTCAAAATCAATCATAAAGATATCCCCTTATTTCTTACGAGCTCTATAATCTTGAATCACTTTATTAGCATTAAGAGACTGATTGAGAATTTGTCTACCCTAAAGGAACACACCCTAGGCTTCAACGATCGAAGAGGGGAGGAACTTTCTCAATCTATTAGGCAACACTTCCGTAATAATTTTATAGAATAATTTTATAAACACCAGTTACCAGGCTAATAGGTATGAAATCACTCACCCTTCTTTCCCAATCCTTCTTAAGATTAAGATTGATGAAAGTTTCATTAAGGGAGTTGTCGAAGACCCCTCTCTCATAAAACTCACAAAAGACCTTCCAAATGCCCCCCTCTCCCAACTATCCATGAAGAAGGCCATAGAAAGGCCATCCAAGCCTAGGGCTCTATTCCTATCATTATCGAAATCACCTTTTTGATTTCCTCTGGGGAGAAAGAGCTTTCTCCCCATCTAAAGTAGACAAACCTGGGTAGTGATAGAATCTAGTCCAATCCTTCCAAAAAGGGTCTAGCCTCTATAGGTTGAGACAAGAGAGAGGCATAGAAAGATAGGATCTCCCCCCTCAATCTCTCCATCCTCCTGGAAGCGCACGATCATTTTCCAAGGGGCCATTCTTACTATGATGACTGCCAGCCTCTAAAGTTAAACCCTAAACTAGGATGCCACCAAATTTTGAATCAATTATCTAATAGGTGCCTAATTTAATAGATTTCGGAACTCATTGGACCAACACACTAGGACCCTTTCTACAATACTCACAGCTAGCCCACCATATCATATCAGTCGGTTTAAATAAACATATTTTGTTAGTAATCATATGAAAGAAAAATTTTGATTCGTACAGCACATAACATTAGATGCTGTAAGATAGATACCTGCTGTTTGTATTCGCCCTTTTTATTCACTCTAAGAAATATTTCAAACAAGGGAACACCATCTGCAGCCGTAGTAAGCTGCCTGAGAAAGTTGAGAAACAAAAGATCAATATTTTCTTAGTTGCAGCAGTAAATTAATCAAATGTCTTTAAGAACAAGGATCATGGAGACTTTACATCAAACAATAGCTCTTTCTTCCTTTTTTATGAAATGCCAGACTTCCATTGGGTAAAATAAAAGAATACACAGGCATACAAAGGAAGAAAGAAAACCCACAAAAAGAAGCCAAATACAAGAAGGGGCTCCAATCAAGTAAAATAAGACCTAATAAGAAATTACAATAAGGCCTAGACACTGAGGCCAAGAGAGAAACTGAGAATCTAGCAAAATGCTAAACATCACTTGCTGAAACTCTCTCTCCCTGCATAGAATAGATTCTACTGTTTCTCGCACCGCACAGACCCCACACACCAGCTTGCCACAAAAATAGCATTAACACACTAAAAAAAACAACCCTTTCTTACTGCAGAACAGCATTTGGGAACTAAAGCTCAATTTCCAATAATAGGAATAAAGGGTTCCACTAATCAAAGGACAATGGAACGAAAAAATTCACACACACTCTGACCAAAAGGGGGGCAGGTGCAGTTTTATAAAGTAGATGACCTTCTCGAGATGAGAGTTAAACAAAAACCACATGCATAATTGCTAGAGAGATAGAGAAAGAAAAAAAGAAGTTGAAAGTAATGCAATACAACAAAGAATGAAGATCATACCGAGGACTGTAACTTCTTGCAATGTATCTACCATGTTCAGCAGTGATTCGAATAATTAGACCACGAGGATTGTGATTTTCTTTTGAAGTGCCAGACCACCAGCCAACCTAAGAAGAAGAAACCAAACGGAGAAAATCATACATGTACATAGTAATATAAAAATTGTTTCAGATTGTTTAGAAGAATATCGAGGTTTAATTACTCAATCATGAAAGACCAGCATAACACGTAAACAAAATTTGAAAAAGATCACTGGAAATTCAAAATTCTCTCTTATATTTAATTACAAAACTCTCAATACGTTAGAAAATGGCTGACTACTGTGAGAGGGTTTGTGAGTTACGACCATAAGAAATAGCGACTAGTTCTAGGCTTGGGAGAAAATAGAAATGAACAAGCAAGTACACCCAGCTTGAACTACATGAGCTTCTAAAACCGATCGACCAAAAAGTTTTCGGGGTATATGCAAATTGCAAGTGCCAAACAACTGAGTAAAGGGGGTGGGGATGAACATATTACAGCAAAAAGGGGACTAAAATACAAGCACTTTATTTCAAGCTCTTTGAATATCTCACCAACCCAGCACCAGCATTGTCCCGAATGAAGGCTGCATCCCGATACCGCTCCTCCTCTATAGCTCTCTACGACAGAAAAAAGAGGAAGTGTAAGAAAAGGACAACTATATCATTGAAGCAATAAATGGAATACTTCTAGTTCTTAGGTGATCCAACCAAGTTGAAAAACAAATCAAATTCCAGCTGATGAATACTTCTGGAATATTGGAAATATGTTCCAGAGCAGAGTAAGAAATTTTCTAACATGAAGATGAGACATCGCTCTGCCAACAGTATCGTTTGTAGCCAAAGCCGCAATCGCCACCTTGAGTTTGGCAGCATCCTTATAATCCTCTGCATATACCGCATGCCTTAAGCGCGACTGCGCAGGAAAGGAAAAACGAAACAAAATTAGTAAGGGAATTCTTCATTGTTCTTGCCATATTCTTTATGAACCTTTTTCCTCGGAATTCCACTCACTGCCCTATCCTTATCTTCCTATTAAATTGCACAAAACCCATTCTTCTTATTCTAATCCTAATAATTTCAAAAGCTAAATTAGAAAGATCCGAGAAAAGCCCCAAACAACAACACATCAAATTCGAACAAATTACAGGGAAATCAAAATAAAATAACCTTCAGAAAAGAAACGAGGCGCTCTTGTTCGTCGACCTCATCAAAATGCTTGCGCCAGCGATCCCAATCCCAGCTCCAATCATCGTCCACATCTTTCTCGTGCAGAACCCCACGGTCAGAACAATTGTCCTTTACGCCGTCGCTACGGTGGTTCACCAGAGAGTCGAAGCGTGTAACGGCAGTTTGAAAGAGGTCTTGAAGTGAAGAGCCCCAAACCCATAGAGGGGAAGGATCAGAGGGAGAGGGAGAGGGAGAATCGGGGTTGTGGCAGTGGCAGATGGTATGGAATTGGGATGGCGGAGGAGATGCAGAGGATGAGTATGGTTTCAGAAATGGAGTTGGGGAATGGAATTTGGGAGTGGAGAAGAAGAGATGGTGAGGAGTGGGTGGAGAAATGGAAGCCATGGATGGATGAGACCGTATCTGGGGAGTGAAAGGCTAGAAACTAAAAGATGGGTGAGTGGAAAAACGCGAAATTGGCCATACCCATTTGATGAACTTGTGATTTCATGTCTGTATTTATACGAAGAAAGAGAGAGGATAAGGATGTTTATGGGTTGAAACTCAAAACACAAAAATATGGAATTTTTTTCTTCTCTTTTCCTTCAAATTTGTTGACTCATTTCATCAAAAACTATATTTTCAGGACTCACGGGATCCCGGGACCTGTGGGTTTGGATCAAGGATTGAAAAGAGATCAAAAATTAAATTCGAAAATGGAGTAAAAAAATTGAAACGGAAGCCACTCTTTTATCAGAGCCAGGTTTCGATCCTGGGACCTGTGGGTTATGGGCCCACCACGCTTCCGCTGCGCCACTCTGATTGTTGTAATGCTTTTCGTTGGGTTTATATTTATTCATAAAATCTCACAGACGGCTCGAAGTTTGCGCCGGAGCTATCCTCTTGGTGGGTTTTCGCCGTCGGTTCAACGAGTTTCAATGCTGGTTCAGCGTATCTTCAACCCGGTTCAACGTGCTTTCGGTTGGATTAGGGTGATTCTCGACCGGTTTGCAACAGTCCAATCCGACTGTGAGTACGTTTTGGCCCGATTTTGGGTCGGTTCAAGGCAATTTCCGACTGGTTCAACGTACTTAGATCTGTTCCAACCAATTTTCCTCCGGTTCAAGGGGTTTTTAATCCTATTACGGTCCGATTTAGGGTTTCTCCTATTTGATTGAGCTGGTTCAAGAGTTCTTTAAAGCATTTCTCATAGGATTTGATGAACTATAAGAATTATACGTCTATGCAATAATAGCAATCCGTGACGTTGAACTCTATTAGGATTAAACCAAAACGTCTATCAACTAACGAAAGTTTAGAAATATTTACATTTGCTAATTGAATAAGTTTTCATTGATAATGATTGTTCTTTTAAGTTTTATTAGATTCAATTTAGTGTTGATGTTGAAACTTAGTTTTAGACCGTTTGAGTTGAGCCAGGAGATTCGTGCGAGTAAGTTTGATTTTCAATGCTTGAATTCAATTGATATATGTGTTGAGCAATCATTTTTTAGTGGTAGCTGCCAATCGTACGCGTTGGAATCATCAAATTTAAACATTCCTTACAACAATATCAAATAACTATCGACTGTAACTTAATTTTTTGCATGCACTTTAGCCATTGAAAACAAAGAGATCAAATAGGAAATGATACTCTGAATCATAGAACTATAATGAAATATTATATTAGATGTTGATACTCGTGCCTACTTCACCTCTGATACCATGATCATAGTAGTCGACTTTCTTGATTACAGCAACAATAACGTCACCAATATGAGCATATTTGCATCATGATCCACATGAATTTTGAGAATTAATTGTTGGGAGGGGACTGATGTGGATTTATTCAAATCATTTTGAATAAATCATTTTATCGACATGAGTGTTCTATATCGATAAAAAAAATCTTATCAGTACAGTGAACAAGAAAGAATTTGCTTTACTCAAGCTTTTTTTCCCGTGGATACATAGTTTTACAGAGAGAAAGGGAAATGTGCTTAATTTCGAGAGCGCTTTTAGGCTTGAAGAGTGGCGCCGCGTCTGCACGGGGCGGAATGGATGAGCGAAAGGTGCCATGCCACATATTCTTATACGGTCAAAAGGGGATCGATTCCGTAAAAGATGAGATCGGTCCAAATAAGCTAAGTAAATATGTGGTCATATGATATGACTTTTTATTGGGAATCACCATAATTATTATACTTGTTATGCCAAGAAAGCTCCTGTTGATTACCCAAATACTCATGATGTATGGATCTCAACCATATTATGATGATATGATGAGAGAATGCTCGCCATGATTCTAAATGATAGAATGTATACTAGCAATCTAAATTCATTGAAAGTTCTTATTACTCTGCTGCTTGATTGTGTATATCTTAACTACACTTTGCAAGGCGACATTTGCTTAGAACAAAGAGTCACATGTTCAAAGCTTACAAACATAAGGGAAAGTGAGCTTACTTGTTCAACTTACATATAGGCTTCTTTTCCAGTCTTTCCAAGTGATCATACTTCCTTCAAGAAGCCTTCTTGTGCAACAAAGGATCAGAGATGACTTGAGGCTCAAACTCGGGCTTTAGATACCGAGCAAGCGTTTCGGCATACATCTCATACCGAGCAGTCATTCGGAATCCCCATTTATCTTTCAGCTGCCTACACAAGTTAAGATCCATGTCTGAGATTAATAAACCATCTCGGGAACGGGAGAGTGAGGGAGTGCAAGATGCATCTGGTGCAGAGAAATGGCTGGACCCATAGAAGTGACCAAAATCTGTATGCTGCGGTTTCCCGTCCCCCGAAGTGAAAGGGTTCGGGAACGTCTCGGTCCCTACACGATTGATCGATCCAACAAAATAACTATTTGCTATTGCAGCATTTCGGGCCTGCAAACATAGAATATTCCATTCAACATTATTTAACGGTAATAGATTGCAGTGCAGATGAAGTACATGAGTTTTCTATAGAAGTTGGTAGAAATACAATAGTAATAGGCTAGTTTCGTAATTTATAATTATACCGGATGTGATTGGTCAAAGTGTAAGAAAGTGGAAGGTCATGCGCTTGTATATAATTACCACAGTAAAACTATATATAGTAAATAACTATGTACAGTCAAAACCTATATTAGTAGAGCTATGGTAGACAGTTACCAATAGTAGATCTGGTAAAACTATATATAATAAACTGAACCATATATATACTCTACTAGACCGTGTTTTGAAAATGTACTTTGAATATATATTTTCTGTATTCTCTGTATTTTCTCTTACGGTAGGTACTCAATATAAACATCTAGTTAATATTTCTCCTTGCATATTCTCGGTAGAAAATAAACTTCTAGCCAATATTCCTCTTTGCATTTTCTCTCACCTATTCTTTGTATTCATCTAGATCGAGTATGTGTTGGTGTGCAATCCTAACACAAAGTTAAAACATCTGCGAAAAAATGTTAACACAAAGATAAAGCATCTAAGCCAAAGGCGAAAAAATGTTAACACAAAGTTGAAGCATCTAAGCCAAAGACAAAAAAACGTTAATACAAAGTTGAAGAATCTAAGCCAAAAGGCGAAAAAAATGTTAACACAAAGTTGAAGCATCATTGTGATTCGTAGTTCTCAATCAAAGGAAAAGGAACAATTATCTGCATTCATTTTCCTTGTTTGACTTTTGGGTATAACTGAAAAGTGAAATGATTACCTGGACCAAACAAGAGATGGATAAGAACAAGTTAAAGACTAACCTCAATAGGCCACATTGGTTCACTGAGTTCACCAACAGTTGCAGAAGGGTTGAAAACTATCTCAGCTCCATTTAAGCCGAAAGCTAACCAGTTTAAAGGGTGGTGCCTCCCATAACATATATTTATCGCAATTTTACCATAGGCTGTCTCGAACACAGGATGCCCGGTGTTTCCTTCCATGTAGTACGTGCTCTCATTAAAGTCGCCAACTCTTGGTATATGGTTCTGCAACACTTCATTAAACAAAGTATTTTCGACAGCCGAGAAAGTGTGACATGAAAATTAACTCAAAATAACTGTTACCTTGCGATGCTTGCCAATTATGTTTCCATGATTTCCAATAACAACAGCAGTATTCCACAAAGTTTCTCCATGACTAACATCTCTCTCAAGAATGGAACTTACAATGACCATGTTGTATTTTAATGCAAGATCCTGTAGAAACCTTGTCGATTCCCCATCAATTGGCTCTGCAAATTCACACCACCGCTTCTCACGGGTACAAAAAGCAAATGGCATCATCCATGCTTCCTATATATGTATGTCTATGAATGTTAAAATAAAAAAACCCAAAAAGAGATATAAGTAGAAATACACAGGAAGATAGCTGGCCAGGGTAACCTACTTGCAAGCATAATATGTTGACTCCAGAAGCACCTGCTGCATCAATAATTGGCTTTACTTTCTCAAGAATAGCCCTCTTTTGGTCTGAAAAGGGGGCAGTTGTTGGAAGGGCAATAGAATTTTGGATAAGACCCACCCTTACTATTCGAGGTACTCTCACTGATTCCTTGTCAGCAATAAAGCGGAAAGCCTGGAATGATTTAAGAGAACAATAGATAGAAACATCAATAAAATGCCATAGAAATTTACTTTTTTAAAAAAAAGAGCCACAAGCTCCTTTCATCACATAAATGTTGCATGGTGAATATAAAAATGGTTATGACATAGATCAGAATAGAAAGGTAGGTCACAGTAATTATTTTGCAGAGAGGCTTTCAAATGTTATCAAAATCATTAGAGATGAATAAATGCAGGCCACTTCAATGGGACCTATTCTCTTAATAAGTGGCAAAGCAGAATAGAAAAGGAGTCTAGTGATGAGTGCTTTTTAGCCTTTTTCTAAAGACTCTCATATGAAGCTAACATGACTCGCTACATACAAGTATAGTCAAAGAAAGATCATCTTCCCGTTGTTGGATAATTGATATGTTAGGATGACATAAAGAGGTCTGACTTTCTAATCATACTTTTGAATTATTTTGATATTTCCTCTTTTTGTATTTGTAAAAGAGAGGGCAAGAGAGCAATGAATGTGAGTTATAAAAAGACTACACAACCCATATTGAACTTCGATTCTCTAGGAAGAATATGAATAAAAATTAAGAACTACATCTTTGTTTTTCGATATAAGAATTAACTTACCATAATCCATCAACTTAATTTTTTATATTCCTCAATAATTTTACGGTAGTAGAATGAGAGGTCATGTGTTCAAACCTCTATAATTTTATTTTCTTCCCGATTTATATTGGTATCCACTTATTCGGCCATCAGCGAATTTCCAAGTTCACAAGTGAGGGGAAGAATTAAAGTATTGATATAAGATTAAATTCATCATAATTCATTGTTAGTGGTGATTTAACAAACCAAAATGACAATATCACGTTTAAACAACAAAATAAAAGGTAGAGATTGCTAATTGTTTCTGGTAAAACAGATCACTGGAACAAAATCAAGCTCTTACTAAAGCAGGCACAAATATTAATAGGTTTCTGCATTGCAAATAGCATATAATCAAAGTTACCAAAGAAACTTAAGAAAAGACTCCTACAAAGTTACTACCTGGAGGTCAAAATCATGCTTTAGAGAAAGACTCTTCACAGGCTCTGCAAGAGAAACAGTTTGAAGCGGCTTTCCACAGTTAAGCCCTAATAGCAACCGGCTAACTTCCTGGGATTAGCAACACAATTTTGAAGTTCGTCGAATATTTCAAATGATCAAAGCAAAGAAAGAAATACCAGAAGCATGCTAACAGAACAAAAATCTATATCAATTCAGAAGTCGCATGTACATACACTACATATATTATATCAGCACTGCTAATCGACCTACGATTAATTCTTTTCAACAAAACGTTCACACGGTCATTTTCAAACCTTTAGCCGAAACAGAGTATCAACAATTAACAACTAAATTTCGAAATCAAAATGTTTAATCAGCTGATAAAACCTAATACATCCAAAAAACCAAGCATCTCTCAAATAAAGTAGGAAAAGATTTCTAGATTCTCAGAATCAACCGCCTAAAAGTACGGAATCAAACAGAAGTCGAAAAAAATGAGCAAAAACAAACGAATCGTAAACAGATCATCAATAATTTTCCGTCATCGCTAATATTTCAGTGAATTCTATCCACACAAAGAAAATCGATCAAAAAAGAAGAGAAAAACGACCTGGAATATCTGAGGTTTGAGATTTGCGGCAAGGAGTTGATGAAGCGAGTCGTAACCACAGACCGAGGCATCGTTAATAGCGTCTTTTCCATCGTTAACCTCTCCATTTACAGCGTCAGTGTTTGAGATCTTCTCCATTGCTCTCTCTTCTTGGTCACGATGAATTGGATCGAGATGAAGGCGTGAGTAAATTGAACACACAACTCGATGATGATTGATTATATAAATTGTGGTTTATCCGACAAATTATTGTAAAACCAGCGGAGCAATTCTAGCATACGATTGAGCTGTATCGCCATCACCAACCCGCCATGTGTGCCTACGAAAAATATTCCAAATTCGGGTATAATCCAAAAACAAATACATTAATTAATTATTAAAATATTATTTTCTTTGTATTATTTAAGTTTAGTCCATTAACATTTTTTTTTTATGAATTTTGAAAATATATCCACCTAATATCTTTGTTGCATGAGAATTAATATAATTTATTTAATAATTTTTAAAGTTTTTAAATACATTAAACATAATTTAAAATCATATTTTATGTATCAATTAATTTTTTTTAAAATAAAGTCCAAAAAAAATTTACTTTTCAAAATTTTGAACCAAATAAATATAAAACTCAAATTTTAAAATTAAATTTATTTTCCAACCCTCTTAAAAATAATTTTAAAATATATTTTCAAAATTAAATTGTAAATCTTAATTAAATATTTATAAATAAATAAATAAAAACAAAATTTTAATAATCACTATCATCAATTCCAGTATTTGAATTTTATGGATAATTATTATTATTATTATTATTATCACTGTATATATTTGCAATTTTAATTATTTTTTATTTTAGAGTAAAATTTAATTTAAGTATTACAATTTTTACGCTTAACTTATTTATTTTAGAGTAAAATAATTTTTAAAGTTTAAGATCAAGACTGTAATGACTATTTGAGTGTGAGATGCAATTTAATGAAATTAAAAGTTTATGGTCGAAATTAACTTCTTCCTTCAAAAATTGATTCATTAAAAAATATAGTAACAAAACAGAAAATTTTATTATTTGATTCATCTGTTCAATCATTGTTATTTTGTATTTGCCTAGAGATAACTGGGATGAACTTTGTACGAGAGACTTTGATTATAGTCATTGGCTACCACTCGTGGTTGTAGGGAAATTTCTTCTCTCCGAACCACGTAAATCTTTATCTTTTTATTTAATTCCTGTTTGTGGGTGTGTGAGTGTGATCAATCTTACTTTTACTTATGGAAAACACAATACTTCGAATCACATTTGGTCGATCTCCAGAGTTTTAGGGTATTTGGGTCCGGTAAAGGTTCAAGTCCACCGCTAGCTAATATTGTTCTTTTTAGGCTTTTCGTTAAAGTTTTTAAAACGTGTATGCTAGAAAGAGGTTTCCATTCGTTCTCCTCCTCAATCGATATGAAATCTCACAATTCACCCTCGACCCAACGTCCTTGCTAGCCCTCCGCCTCGTATCCACCCCCTTCGGGGTTCAACCTCCTCACTAACACACTACCCCGTGCCTGGCTCTCATACTATTTGTAACAGTCTAAGCCCAAACTCAAGTTCACCACTAGCAGATATTATCTTTTTGAACTTTCCCTCAAAAAGTTTTTAAAACTTGTATGTCATAGAGATGTTTTCACACTCTTATAAATAATGTTTCATTCTCTTCTCCAACCGATGTGAGATCTCACATGTTCAAAGGAGTTTAAAAGATATTGATTGATTGATTGTTAGCTAGATATTATTCTTTTTGACTAGAAACTCTTTTTTGTAGGTTGAGGCTCCTCGTACCTAGGCTGCTTCTTTGTTAATATCGCACAACAACTCACACTCAATCTAGATGAACACACAAAATAAGAAAGAGAAAATGCAAGGAGTATAGGCTAAAGATTTATATTGATAACTCCTAATATCTACAGAGAACACAAAAAATACATTTTCAAAACACTACCCAGTTCAGTTTACTATATATAGCTTTACCAGATATAATCATCTCCAGTATAACCATCTATCCTACATAGTTTTATCAGATATAGCTTTGTTTGTTTACTACATACGAACTATTTACTTTATATGTCATTTATCATATATAGTTTTATTATATATAACCATTGAATAAGCTATAAATAAACCGTTCTTTTACCCCGTCCTCTCAAATGAAGTTGAGTTTTGAGTGTAGTATGTCCATTTCTTCTTGTTGTCCTCAATTTTATTCACATTGTGGGCGTAAGTTGTAAGTCCCTGCCTCAGTGCCTCAAGATTAACTCCATTGTCAACCAGAATACTTGAGACTCCCATTTTTGAAACCTGTTGTTGCCATCACAAAACTTTGTTAAGATGGGGAAATAAGTAGATATGATATCCTTAAACTGTTTAGTATGAGTTTTACCGTTACGATATTCCGATCCTCGTCGTCAAAAAATAGCATAGACGTGAAAGGTACACCGGTACTCGAATGAATTCTCTGGAAATGATCTGTTTTGTGTGTCCAACTAGCAAAAATCTCCTGGAAATGATCATCATGAAAAACAGGATAGAGTTCATAAGCAAAGATTTCTTGCTATAAGCTGATTAGTTAAAATAGCAATGGCAAGGGATGCTCGTCAGTCCCTTGATAAGAATATGAGGAAGTTGCTAGAAGAAATAAAGTACATTTTTGTGCTGTTGGAACGGCTCAAGTCCACCGCTAGCAGATATTGTCCTCTTCAGACTTTCTCTTTCAGAGTTTCCCTCAAGGTTTTTAAAACGTGTCTGCTAATGAGAGGTTTTCACACCCTTATAATAATGTTTCGTTTCCCTTTCCAACTAATGTGGGATCTCACAGTATACCCCATTTGGGGTCTAGTGTCCTCGTTGGCGCTCGTTTCTCTTCCAATCGATGTGGGATCTCACAATCCACCCTTCTTCGGGGTTCAGTGTCCTTCCTGGCACTCATTCCTCTCTTCAATCGATGTGGGATCTCATAATCTACCCTCCTTCGGGGCTCAGTGTCTTCGCTGACACTCGCTCCTCTCTCCAATCGATGTGGGATCTCACAATCCACCCTCCTTCGGGGCCCAGTGTCCTCATTGGCACTCGCTTCTCTCTCCAATCGATGTGGGATCTCACAATCCACCCTCCTTCGAAACCCAGTATCCTTGTTGACACTCGTTCCTCTCTCCAATTGATGAAGGATCTCACACTCCACCCCCTCTTTGGGACTCAGTGTCCTCGCTAGCACTCGTTACTCTCTCCAATTGATGTAGGATCTATCAATCCAGCCTCTTTGAGACCAAACGTCTTTGTTGGCACACCGTTCGGTGTCCACTACCCTTTGATGCTCAATGTCTACCCTTTGATGCTCAATGTCCTCGTTGGCATACAACCTGGTGTCTGAAATATTCTTTTAGCTACAAATTTTGAAGGTTCATTCGTGCCAGGATCATAGAGAATACTGCTGGGAAAACATCATTTAACCAAGAGAAATGGATAATTCTCATTCCACAAAGAAGCAGAAGAAATAGACTAAAACTTCAAAGCTGATAACTGAACGAGAAATGTAAAATGACTAATCAGTCGCGTTCTCACCTGAGTTACGAACATCGACTTGATTCCTAATTTATCGATAAACGTGTTGGCAATATCAGATGTTGGTGATCTAGAAGCGATGGCAAGGTCAATTCCCTTGTCTTTAAGTGCATATAATATGCCATTGGCATGAGGAAACAGAGATGGTTGTTCACGTTTTGAGAGACAATCACTGTCAAAAAAATCAAAGGGTTATTGAGCTAGTCTTTAGTGAATGAATTTCATCCATAGGCTAGCTAAGAGATATTGTTTCTTTAGGCTTTTTTTTTCGCGCTTCTTCTCAAGATTTTTAAAACGCTGTCTGTTAGGCCATTTTTCGGCTAATCTAGCCTCTTCCATCTCTCGGGACCAACAAAGGGTAGTATAGGAATATTCACCTGTTGTCCATCAACTACGCCTTTTCCCCTGATCTTAGGCCTTGATTCACCCTCCATGGATGAACCTTGCAGAGGAACCCTTAGGTTTATAGGGCATTGGATTTTCACCAATGTTTGCTTTACTCAAGTCGACGGAGAGTTTATCACACCCTTATAAAGAATACTTCATTATCCTCACCAATCGATGCGGGATCTCACAATCTACACGAGGCTATGTGCCAGTAAGAAGGCTGGCCTTGAAGGGGAGTGGATTAGGTGGTCCCACGTCGAATGGAGAAGAGAACGGGTGCCAGAGGACCCTGAGCCTTGAATGGATGGATTGTGAGATCCCACATCGGTTGGGGAAGAGAACAAAACATTCGTTATAAGGGTGTAGAAACCTCTCTCTAGACACGTTTTAAAAACTTTGAGTGGAAGCCAAAATAAAAGCCTAAATAAGACGCTATCGGCTAACAGTCGGCTAGAAGAATCTTCTTGTTCTAGTCAAATTACAAGACGAACAAAATGAAAAACAATTAAAGCAAACGTAAACATAGACCACAACAGGCGATTCATTTCATCAAAACTCCACTAACAGCAGAAGAAAGCGCAGCAGCATTCAATCGGCTCAGAAATGAATCCAATAAAACAGTTCAAGCACAAAAAAAAAAACTCCATCGAAATGCGTTTTTCAGAGTCAACAATCGGAAAAGTGAATCAAAAGATGAAAAAAGAGGAGGAGAAATTACCAATAGAACGGCCAGAGAGTGTAATCGAGGTCGAAAACAACCAATTTCGGAAGAACTTTGAACATTCCTATAATCTGCAGAGCCTCCGCCTTGACGCTCTCGTCGTCCATCTCTGTTCCTCCACTCCGACGACGCGGAACTGCCTTGGATTGGATTCGCGCTTTGTCAAGCAATTGATTGGTTGAACGTTCAACCGTTGAAATTTGGGGTTTTGAATTTGGAATAGCAAGGCAACTATTAGAGTCAGTCAATTTGAGGATACTAATTCAATGCTCAATGTAGCAATTTCTGCAATTACAAAAACATAATAAAATATTTTGCCAAAATGAAAAAAATACCTTTGTAACAATAAAAAAATAAAAATAATAATACGTATTTTATATCGAGTATATCGATAAAATCTAGACATGCGATATTCGACCAATCTGAGTATAGCTTAGTGGAAAAAAACGTCAATTCTTATCTTGAAGTCTCTAAAATGGTTGAACTAAAAAAATGGTGGTATTTTGCTCGGGGTAGGCTATGTTACCTTTACCCTAGAAGTTATCAGCATCATAGTTTCTAACGAGAGCTCTTCAATAAAATTAGTAAACCGTCGACTTCAAAAAACTTAAAGAAAACAACTCGT